ATTAATGAAAGTCCACTTCGATTTTTTGTAAAGGGAATACAGCGAGCAGCTTAAGCTGCTTATTGCTCGCTCTTTAGTTTATTTAACTGTATGTTCCTACAATGTACATATATTTATTTAAAATAAATATACCACATCCAACTATTACCAAACCGAATGAAACCCATTTTTAACCACGTATAGTGGAGGGTGGAAAATAGAAGCTGCGAAACGGTTCACCGGCTCCATTAAAAAACTTTGACTGAAACTCCACCCAATGCAGGCGCAGCGTATGCAGAAAAGCCGACAGACCCTCCATCATGACCAATATGGCAACCGTTAGTATGGCCCAAATAAAGAAGGCTACGACCAGTATTGGCACTGCCACATAAATGGGTAACTTATTTTTGAGACCCTTCTCGAGAATCATATTCCAGAGCACATCCGACAGCTGGCTGTGGGCCAGCGAGAGAGCCCAGAGACGCAAATAGGATGCGGTGTGCGAGACTGAGCCCAGGACGCTTTCAATTGTGTGTATGCCGGAGTGTATCCAGATTTCGGTCATATCAAATTCAAGGGCATCGTCGACGGTATGCAGCTTGGGTCCCGAACCGCGGTTATCCTCGTTCTGAAACTCAACGGAATAGCGCAGCGAGGAGCGCATCTCCTGTATGGTATTATGGCTGTTCTTATGCATATCGGGCTCCTGGTTAGCGATCTCCTTGGTGAGCTGTTTTTGGCGCCGGGTCAAATAGATGGGCTTGCCAGCTAGCAGTACGGGCACAGAGGCAAAGGCCACAAACACCAGGATATATTCCAATAGACGTTCATATGGAAACATGCCCACATTGCAGCTCTTCACCTCCAGTGCCGTAGTCTTCATTAGCATCATGTCGATGAAGGTGATTAGCACGGATGGCGCGCAGGCCGAGTTGTAGGGCGCCTGCTTCAAGCCGCCGTACATCAGCCACTTGAAAAATATGAGAAATACCAGATAACAAAACAAACAGATCATAAATACGAAAATTGGAAAAACCACCAAGAATAAATCGGCCTTGCGATGCAAGTGGATGCAATTGACAGCCGACAAGGTGAGGCCAAACATCATCTGTGTAATGCCCAAGATGATGGCCAGTTTCATTTTGAGCGAATTGAATGTGGTTATCGAATCCTCGCCACTGATACTCCAAACTGGATCAACACCAAACGGATATGGATGGCCCGTATAGAATTTGGGATCGTTTGGATTGAATGCCAGATTGGTCGTCAGGGTCATAATTGTCGTCTCATTATAGACACACGACCAGCTGGAGCCAAAGAGATTCATCGGCCGAGAGACGACATCATTATAGATAAGACCGATATATATTGAAAATAGGCCCATCAGCAAAACAATATATCGGCCGGCATATAAAATATTAAGTATCTCATTGTCGTTTAGATTCGTCCGTTTAAATTCTTCGATGCTTTTCTCCTGGTAGATCAGGGCGCAGGCAAAGAATGTCAATATAATGCCATGGCCCAGATCACCAAACATAATGGCAAACAGAAATGGAAACGTAATAATCGTATATGGTGCCGGATTGAGTTCCCTATAGTCCGCGATGCCATAGGAATCAATTAGGTTTTGAAAGCCATGTGTAAACTTGTTCAGTCTAAAGTATGTGGGCGGCATGTGTCGCTGCTTGCGAGTGCGCCTTAACAGAATCGGTGGCGAGGAAATCAGCTCTTCGCCATGTTTAACAAACATGCCACGGTTTAAAGCATCGCGTACCCCATTCACTTGTGATTTGGGTACAAAGCATTCGGCCTGCAGATACCTTTGATTCTCCGGACCGCCAACTGGATATAGGCGATTGAGCAAATCGTAGACCCTTATGGATTTACGTAAATTGATGCGTATTATATACAGATCGGTGGCCGCAGTGCTCAATATGCGTTGGCGCACCGCAAGGGTCTCATTGAGCACTACATCCAGATCGCGTATATCTTGATCCAGCTGAGCGATCATCTGCGCGCGCTGGCTGGGCTTCTCGGGGCACTCAAAGATAGTCACATGAAACGCATGACAGCACTTCATCAATTTGGGTCGTATGCTTGTCGATGTGGTCATCAGCAGGATAACATGTTTATGTACCATTTGACGCTGATGTCCCACTTGTTCCATTATCTTCATGGGAATTTCGGCGTGTCGTATCAACAGATTGCGGCCAAATATGCGATAGAGCATCAGCTCAAACGCTGGAAACTTTTCCACATTGATGGTACCCAAAATATAATTGAGCTGTAAACCGTGCGGATCCGCTTCAGACTGATCCTTTAGCAAGCCGACAATTGTGCTCTCCGAGTAGAGCAGCTGAGATCCACTGTTCCCATCGGACGAGAGAAACTTGCTTGCCTTCTGCAGGGCAAAACGTTTCTCTTGCAGATAGTTTTGACGCTTTTCCAGCGTATTAAAGTGCTCCATAACGGAAACCACTTCCGTATGCTGACGACGCAATGACAGCTCGTATGCCGGTATATAGGATTCGTGTGGCCGATGCTCCGTATCAACGTCGGCATAGTATGTCTCTCTCATATCCAGACTGCTCAACTGGTCCTGCAGATATTCAACAATGCGCAACAGCTCGTGACACAGCTGCACCTTCTTGGTATAGAAGCCGTTCAGGATGTGATCCTCTTCGTAGACATTGTTGAACTGCAGTCCACCATGATGGCCCAGCTCCATTAGGCAATTGAAGGCGTTGTCCACATGCAGCAGCAGCAGGTACAGTTCCATCTCTTCGCTGCAAAAGAATGCCATATTGCCAATGGTGGAGTAGGAGACCAAAAAGAGTAAACAAAACGTTTGTTGTGTATCAAGAATCTAGTATTTTGAGTTTGGGTTAGAGTTTAATGTTTGCTATGACTTGGACTTGGCCAGGCCTACTGGATTGTGTCGCCTGCTAATTGATACGTTTGCAAGTCAGCTAAATTATTCATGTTGTTGTAGTTGTTTTTGTTGTTTGTGTTAGCGTATTTGCTGTGACTGCACTTAATACGAGTAGCTGCCACGCTGCACAAACACAAACACAGACCACAAGTCCAAAACTTGCGGCCTGTGCATAAGATTAACAGCGATAATTTAGCGTTTGCCTGCTGCACAGCTGCTGTACTCCCCCACCGCAGCCATCTTGTGGCCCACAGTGCTCGTAGCAGTCACAGTTCGAGTCACGCCCACACTGCAGCCTTTGCAACGCTACACTGAGCAACACTGGCCTGCAATTTATGCTTTGTTCTCAATGGGAAACTCAACTTTAATTTTACAGGGTTCTCTTTCAGGTTGTGTTTAAAGCATATGAAGTCACTCGAAGGCGGAATTTAAATGAGCTTAAAGTGTAATTAATATATTACATCTAAAAGTAGAATTCACACATAACATTAAGATATCTCTTTGAAAATCAAGAAAATCAATGAATGTAAGTCCCTCACTATGATCGCCCTTCTGTGCGATTTTCAATAACACAACTAAGACTTACAGATTTCTGATGAAACTTAAGTATTGATCTTGCAAGAGTCTGTTAGAGAACTGTGGTGTCAAATAAGTGGAAGAAGTCTAAAATAATACGGGGTATCTGCTGGTCCAGAACTATCACGCTTCTAAATCTTTTGTTGCTATTGTGCTTGCATTTAATTTAGTAGCTCTAACCAAAGTGCATTTGATTTGTTTTATCTTGCTGTAGCTAACGACGCGGCGTATGCTTAATCTGCTTATATAAGACACGAAGTGGCAGCATTCATAGTTGTTGTTGTTGTTGCAGTTGGTATTGGTGTTGGTGTTTATATTGGTGTTATTTTCTCATCACATGCCACAAAGATGCAGCTACATTTTCCCATACAAATCGAAGTTTAAGTGTTTCAGACAATTTGTTTTGTAATTTCTGATCCATTGTTGTTGTTGTTGATGTTGTTGGTGTAGTGCCAAAAGCGTTTTACTCATTAGCTGCTGCTAAAAGGAAAATGGCCCAAAATGTGTGTGCTCTTTGGTGAAAATTTTGTTACGGCGCCCATAAAATGTTCGTTAACGTTGCCAACAACAGCACAATCAGCCCCAATGCCAACAACAATGGCTGAAAAACGGCTACAAACAATGAAAGTAAAAGTGCCAAAGCGCGCTGCACTTGATAATTTCTTGAGCAAGCTTGTTGGCGATCTCTAAAGTTATTGTTGTTGTCGCTGCTGCTGTTGTTGTTGTTGTTGTTGTTGTTGTTGTCGCTGGGCCGCAAGTCATTTTGCTTGGACACTCTGGCGTTAACAACAATGAGGCCGTTGTGTTGGCCCGCTTCGATTTCATTAGCTTTTATTGCAGCACTTTTGTTGCCAATGAAATTAAGTCACCAATTGAAAGTTGGAGAAGGAAAGCAAAAGTGGGCCTGGGCCCACTGCGCACTGTTTTCACTTTTGGCCACGCTCAGCAATTGCACTGAAAAATGTCAGGCGTTCAGCCGATTTGCATGCCAGCCAATAAATTGACTCTGGGCCAACAACAACAAACTAACAAACAGCTAAGAACTGCAGCTGCAAACAAGGCTAGGCACATGCAGTTACCAAATGTAGCAAGAGGCGGGCTTGCAGGGCCAGACGGGATTCATGAATGTGAAAAACTTGAAAATTTTAAGATCTAGATACAACCAACTTGGTTGGGTTGCAGCCTCTCGTATAATATACACAGATTCCATTTTTGGTTAACTTTCATTGTTTTTGTTAGAATAGGAAAAGTCTTTCTTTAAGGTGGAGCTTGGAGCTTGTGCTTGGAGAAAGCTAGAATATTTACAAAAGCTCGCAGCTGGGCTTAGGGTATCCATAGCCGTTGTCTCACTTACTTCATAAGCAAAAACCGATTTTTATATACAAAAAAATCATCACAAAATATGGAAACAATGTCAATTATTGGCTAAAGGCGCTAGTTTCAAGCGTTATTTCTGCTGCTTATTTCAAGTGTTTTCATAAACTAATTTTCGTTTCTCTCTCTTTATTTGCAGTGATGTGATTGGAGTTCAATAGCCAAACAAGCAGACGCCAAGCAAAAGGTAAGCCGCAATCGATTTTGGCATTAAATAGCAATTAGGTGTACGCCCACAAAGGCAACAACAACATTAACAACACTAACAACAACAATAGCAACAGCAGCAGCGAAAAGACGCAACTCACTTTTCTTCGGAGCAGAGAAAGTGCACTCAGAAAACATGTAATTTGGCGAAAAGGCGCGTAGAACCCAAAATTAACGCCTAAACAGCAGCACGGCTTTATAATGGCCAATCAAGGCAGTCAGCGAGCGAGAGAGAATGAAGCGTGGTGGGGGGGATTTCATTTAATAACAATATATGAGGCATAGCCTGAATAGGGTCAAGTAGTTGTGTAGCACGCGAAGCAGAACTCACGAATTTGTGGGCGTGGAAACGAGAGCAAAAGCCAAGCGAAAGTTGAAAGTGACAACCGAAAAACGGGCCGAAACTTTATAGAACAACAAATGTTAAACACTTAGCCGACGCATGCATTGTGCGTGTGCTTAAATTAAAATGTGCATATTATTTCTATGATCAGCTCAACATATGCCTGCATATCGCACTTAAGAACTAACTGTGCTTAAGACTGGCATTGAAATGCACACCTTTACCTTGTGTTTGTTGTTGCTGCAGCCAGCAAGTTCGTTGCTTAAGTCTTTCGTTTTGCATGCCGCCGCCGCCGCCGCTGACTGACTGACTGCGACCTTATCAAGCTATGACTGTGACGAGTTGCTGCTGCAGCTGTTGTTGCTGTTGTTCTTGTTGTGCGTGAACGTCTAGCCCGGCTTGGCCTGGCCTGGTCTGGTCTGGTCTGGTCCGGTCCGTTATGCGTCTCGAGCTTGAGCTGGCAGCGCTTCATTAAAATGTCTAGCTGGGCCAAATGGTTTTTGAAATTGAAACGTCTATGTTGCGACTGCTGTGTCTGCGCAAATGCATCTTCGTCTGCAACGGCAACGGCAACATCTCCGTCGTCCTCATCATCATCATCAGCTGCCCCGCAGCAGCTTATCTGGCAGGTCTGAACGCATCATGCGCGCACTTGGCTCTGGGCTATGCCAAGGCTTGGGCCATGGCTGTGGTCTGGCTGGGGCCGCCGCCATCGCCGCCAGCGCACAATTTTCAATTTGCCAATTGTAGCAGTAAACTTTATAGCTGTATTTTTTGTGCCACACCTCCCTTCCCTCCTGATCTCCGCCCCCTAGCTCTATTTGCCCGTGTGCTAGCCCCCCCTACTGATGTTTACCGTTAGTTTGTTGTGCATGTGATTGGCCTTAGGTGTTGCTGCCAAGTACCTGGCCATTTACCTCTGCCTCTACGCCTCGTCTGCCTCAGTTGCTCTCAGCATATGTGTGCGTTGCGTGTGTGTGTGTGGGTTGGTCTTACTAATTTGCGACAATTGGTCAGACCATTAGCCTGACTGACTGACTGACTGGCCAGTAAGTGTGGGCGTGGCCAGTGCAATTCCATTGTCCGTACATCATAATTTATGCAGGAATTCTGGCATGAAATTTTGATTTAATAAACGTTGGATGCCCCAATGATAATTTATTATATGAATTTGTGCTGCGTTGACAATCATTCAACGAGCCATGCCATGATTATATTTCAAGCAAATTATGTGATTAATTTTGTTAAATTATAGGAAATGCTAAACACATTTATGGGAAACATTTCGCAAATTAATTTGACTCTAAATTTAAAATTGAAAGAAGGAAATAATATGTTCGATAGATATACGCTTGAATTGCGCAGACCTTGCCTTGTAGCCCTGTCCAAGCTGGGAATTGCAAGCGTCAGATATATTTTCTGTGTGTTTTGCTCTGACACCAACTATTGTCATATAATTATTTGCTCTAAAGAGCATTTGATTAGGAATAGAAATAATTTACCTTCAATTCAAATTACCCCAAAATCCGTTTTGCACGATTTGTGTTTCTATCGATATATTCAAAGCAATTTCTCATGCAAGTTAACAATATAAATATTTTAAATATTGTTGCCAACTCTCGAAAGACTCATGACTTGTTCTCCGCCAAGCAATTAAAGGGGAATCGCTGGGGGGGTAAACCCCTTCACAACTATTGAGTTTGACAGGCGGCGGCAGCTGCAGAAAACTTCTAATAAATGGACGTTGCATTTTGCGTAACTGCGGCATTTGCAACATGTGAACGTGCAGCGCGCGCTGTCTAGTCATTAGTTTGCTGTGTAATTTGAAACAAAAGATACACACACACTCACACACACTCTCGCACACACACACATAAAGTTGACTGGGCAATTCATTAGACACACGCTGTTTTGCATGATTCTTGCAATTTGCAACAAAATACGTATTTTGAGCAAACATGACCCAATTTTTTGTAGCTGGACATGTGCAGCAGCATACTAAAAGCCAGCAGGAAGTCCCGTGTGTGTGTGTGTGTGTGTGTGTGTGTGTGTGTGTGTTCGCGGCACGAGTTCAAAGTGAAATTCATAATGAAACGCAGCGCCCTCAACTCTGGACTCAATCGACTTGAAATTCACATGGCCGCAATTTGTTGGCTGTGTTGTGTTTCAGAACCTAATCAACACATCATCAATAACAGTGGGAAATCATTTGTTCTACACACGCCAAATATTCTCCCAGTGTATGTGTGTGTGCGTGTGTGTGTCTATCTGTGTCTGTCTGATTTGTGCTCCGTTGGAGTCGCACTCGCCGTGTGGGAGATTAATCACACGGGGCCATAGGCTGAAGCGTGAAATGCAAACAAACAAACAGTTGGACAGCCAGTTGGACAGATGGACGGACGGACAGACAGATGGACGGACGTACAGCTGGACGTTGATTATACACAGCACATCGCATTGCCGGCGAGCGTTGAAAACTTAATGAAAGCAAGCGAATGTGGCTTTTCATTTGGCGTTGATTTTTTCGTTTTTTTTTTTTTCTTTTTTGGTGGTGGTGTGCACTGACCCGACACGCCCACCACTGCCTAACCGCCCACTATGTCAGCGTTTGCTGGCAATTTGATTGCCACCGTGTGTGGGCGATTTGCCTGCCTGCCTATCTGCCACGCCCACAGCCAGCCAGCCGCCTGCAATTGATGCTCGCAATTATCTAAAGCTGCACAAACAATGCGCAAATTAAATGCAATAAACCAAATGCACCCGAGGGTTGGGCGGGTGCCAGTCTAGTTGCAAGGGGGCATTTTGGTTAAGCGGGGGAAGGGGCCATGTAAATATTTTATGTTACAATTTGCGCGTTGATTTGTTGCATATTACAAAAAAAAAAAAAAGCCAACCGCAGTGTATGCCGCCATGCCGCTGGCAACGTGGGCTGCCAATCTGTAGCAGCTCGACGTTGTTGTGGTGCAATTAGCTGGTGGTTTGCTCATATTTTGCGGCCAACCTGGCGGCGGGTGGCAGTAAAAGCCGCGTTCGCCATGGCGCTCCCGTAATTTGCTCATAAATGCGCTAATAGACAGCAACGAGTGTGCGAATAGTGCTGTGTGTGTGTGTGTGTATGTGTGTGTATTGTGTGTGTTGCCATTAACCAAATGCCAAAGCAGACAAGCGGTTGCCGTTGACCGTAACACGCGCCACAGCCACAACAGCATTTGGGGGCGCGCCATTATCTATGCAGATCGAAATCGGTCGACGCTCCACAAAGGCGACCTTAACCCATACAATTCTAGTTGCTGCTGGTCTTAAATTCATTATTGAATTCAATGGGTTAATTATTTTGCTTAAAGCGCACAACACAAAAGTTTTCCGCACTATTTTGCGGGAATTCCCCTTCTTTGCCTCTCCTTATACTTTTGCAGATCTGTCTGTTTTCAGTTATAACCTATATATATATATATAATGTATAGAATTTTTACATACAAGAGATAGCTAGCGTGAGGTCGCCGGTTCAAATCTAGCATCAATATATATTCACAGACGGACAGAAAGGTAGACAGACGGACATAGCTAGATCGATTCGGCTATTGATGCTGATCACCCATATATATGTATATATTATGGGGTCGGACTTGCTTCCTTCTACACTTTTATCCATTTTCAATGGGTTCAGGGTATACAAAAAACTTCCATGATAAACGCTCCTAATTATATATCGAGTTATATGTGAATATAAAACACATTTGTCTGCATACGCATATTGTCTTCAATTTATTTTTTCCATATGTTTTGTCTTGAAATTTGTTTACATATTCAATTGCTGTGGTTTGCGCTTGCATCATCCGTTTTTTAAATTTGGGGATTTTTTTTAGTCAGATTTTTTATTTGTTTTTGATTTCTAATTATGAAATCTCAACATCAGCATTCAATAGAATTATGCAACATTATTGCTCAGCGCAAAAAATGTATATTCTTAAAATAATTCTTGCAAAATTTTGATGCTTCTCTTGGTCATTAATATTATCAAATTCATCGTCGTTTGCAATTCTTTTGAGCGATCACATCAGAAATCTTGTAATCGACCTTCGCAGCTTATTTCGTGTGGCTGTGGGGTTATATTAAGCGCGGAGTTTAATAGAATTCATTTGGCTTGTCATTGTTTTTTTTTTTTATGTTTATTGTTGTTGTTGCGTAAATTCATGCGCTCATTGCCTCAATTAATGCGACATTGAGCGCAATTTGTCGTTTGTCATTAATCTTCTTTTCATTTTCATTTGGCCAGACGCGCCTTGTTTTTTTTTTTTGTGTGTGCGCTCTTGGCCAAAACTAATTTTAGGCCGCCACAATTTTGGCATTTGTGTTAAAGTGGTAACTTGAGCGCTTGTTTTTGTGGTTGCTGCTGCTGCTGCTGCTGATGCTGCTGCTGTTGCAGGAAATCGAAAGTCGTTGCCGGCAGCCAAACAAATTTATCACAAAAGGGAACTTCACGCTGCCCTGCAGTTGACAAAAGACTCTTGGCTTAACGTCTTTGGCGCTGGCTAATAGACTGCAAAGCCAAAGCCAAAGCCATGACGCACTTGCTCTATGCATGCTCAAGCCCAGGCTCTGGCTGTGCCTCAGGCTCAGTTTTAGTTGCCGTTGCC